GTAAGCATGAAGAAATTACCTGTAAGCTGCCATTATTTTGGTTGGTGAAGATAACCAAAATACTTCCTAAGGCTCTACTGCCTTTTCGAGCTATTTTGGGGCTTAATTTTCGAACTTAGGCTCAAGGGGCAATTTCTTCCATTTTGTCCTTTACGGCAGTCAGGCCCGTAGTAGCTGCCAGAAGAAAAAAAGCCCCTACACACTCATAGGGCCCATTGAGGGTTCAAGGAATGAAAGTTTTAGACCATTTGGGAGCACTAAAACTCAAGCCCATTCCTCAGGCCCAAACACATGGGTTATCATGAGAGAGGGAAAAAAGTGATCAAATGCCTTAGGAGAACATCTAATAGTCTGCTCAACACTTAGACAATACCACATTAGTTAAAAGGCCCAAAATAAAGCAAATGGACTACTTCCAGCAACTTGACAAAAACCCACAGGCCACTGGAAATAGAGTACCAATAACCCAATACTGTAAACAAAGCCCAGCCCAGCGCTTTGTAAAAATCTAGCATCGTATTCCACCATTGTCAAAGCTCCATAACAGTCAACGAGAAGCCATTGTAGGAACCAAAGGAAATCCATATGTGTAGGAGTGAATGGAAAGAAGCAAAGGAAAAGTGGGAATGGAGGATTGATAGAATTAGGGTTCTAAGTGCCTATAAAGGGAGCTTCCTCTACCCAAAAAGATCATGATCCAGAGCACGACCGAGCTTTGTCAAGTGACTGGGAATTTTCTCAAGACACCCCATCTCCTACTTTCTTTAGTTTTCTCTCTTCCTGAGAGAGAAATCTCCCTTTATTTAACTCTTCCTTGTTCTGGGCTTTTCCTTTCTGAACGAAATTCATGCTTTTATCTCTCTCTCAAATTGCTAAACTTGTGAAGGCTTAGCTCCTATACCACAAGCTCCTCAAGCAAGTTGTATTAATAACTTACCACAGTACGTCTCACGAACTTTTCAAAACCTTCTTGGAGCCTGGTTCTTGAACCCAGATACAGGGGGCGCTTTACCAGTTTCTCTTTACGGCAGCCAAAGCCCATTCGTCAAGCTGCTGGACTAAAAAGACCCTACAATGGGTAATTTGTTTTGTCAACCCATTAATTTATTACCATGCCTTGACATTTCCATTAGTTGACCCATAAACAAAAAGTCAATGTCCGAAAGTCTTTGAGAGGCATCTGCCAATTGAAACCAAAACTGATATATATTTGGAGCAGTAGAGATCAATTCAAACTGAGTCACTCTCATATCTATCTGGAGTAGTTCAGATTTATTCAAACTGGACCAAACCATATATCTTCAGTTACCCATTAGCTCCTGTTCGCGCTAAATCAGAACAGATAAGAGTTTAGGCTAACTTACAAGTGTGCTGATGGTTGAGGATTGGAATGACCTTCTTCCGTAATGTCCAAAGGTTTGAGCGGGGCTCGGATTCGAGCTGAGGAGGGGATACCGGTGTGGTACCTGCCGAAGGCACTCCGATGCCAAAGTCAATAACTAAGAGCAATTCTATTGATAGTGGAAGCACTAGTCAAGTCAGAAAGTCTTACCACTTGGCTGGGCCAAAGGGCTCTATTTATAGAGAGCATTTGTGATGCTCTTAGCACTTAGTTTCGATGTGAGACTCGTGGGAGTGTATTCGAAGGTCGACACGTGATTCTGACAGGCTCTGGCAGGAATTCTGAGGTAATCTGCCAGAATCGGATTGATGTGATGGTTGGTCACTCGGTAGACAATACCGAAGGTTGGCGGAGGTAGTGATACTGCGTTATCAACCTGAATCGGTACTGAGGGCCTAGAGAACATTTGGTATGGCCCAGTTGAGCTGGTCTCTGGCTTGAGGGCGTTCCACGTGTCACGACGTGAGTGGGTGGTCAGATATGGTACAAACAATAGTCCCCCAAGTTTCCGATCGAGGAAGGACTTCTTGGTTGGTGACTTGCTTGTGTCCCTGAGCTCCGGCATTCTGACCCAGGAATGAGCGTTTGTCGTTTGTAAGCCGGTGGTGATCATGTAGTCCCCCAAGTCCTCAAGCCAAGGGGTTGGTTTGAAGATTGGATGGGAGCGGCAGACAGAGCCGAAGGTGGGTGAACAGTGCATAAAGGATGAGTTAGGGGGCCTGCCGTTTGGTACGAGAGGTGAGTGAAAACAAGACCCATGCATGTCTGCCGTTCGACATGAGGGGTGAGTGAAAACAAGACCCAGGCTTGCCTGCCGTTCGGCACAAGGGGTGAGTGAAAACAAGACCCAGGAATACTCGACCCATGTGTGCCTGCCGATCGGCACGAGAGGTGAGTGAATACTCGACCCGTGCATGCTTGCCGTTCGGCACGAGGGGTGAGTGAAAACAAGACCCGTGCGTGCCTGCCGTTCGGCATGAGGGGTGAGTATAAACAAGACCCAGGCAACAAGACCCGTGCGTGCCTGCCGTTCGGCACGAGGGGTGAGTGAAAACAAGACCCAGGTGTGCCTGCCATTCGGCACGAGAGGTGAGTGAATACTCGACTCGTGCATGCCTGCCGATCGGCAAGAGAGGTGAGTGAATACTCGACCCGTGCGTGCCTGCCGTTCGGCATGAGGGGTGAGTGAAAACAAGACCCATTGCTTGCCTGCCATTCGCACAAGGGGTGAGTGAAAACAAGACCCATGCGTGCCTGCCGTTCGACACGAGGGGTGAATGAAAACAAGACCCATGCATGCCTACCGTTTGGCACGAGGGGTGAGTGAAAACAAGACCCATGCGTGCCTGCCGTTCATCAAGAAAGTTGTTGTCTTAAAAAGGAGAGGAATGGAGAAGTCGAAACGTCGAAGTGTAGGCGCAAGGGGGAAGGTGAGAGCGCTTGGGCTCCCCTGTGCATGGGTGACACATGTCGGCAAGGCGGCCAAGAGTTGTGATGTTTCGATTCCCGAAGCTAGGCTGGTCCTATAAAAAGGAGGAAGAGACGGTAGGAGGAGGTACTTGAGTTTTTGAGAGCAAACAGAGCTTGTGAGAGGCGATTTTCGGCGAGGGTATTGCGGCGTCGTAGGCGATTTCCGACAAGTGTTCGCGAAGGCAGAACGATTTCCAGCGGCTTCCACCACCGTGTGAAACAAGGTATGTTGGTGTTTTCCCTCTCAGTATGAATCAAATGCTTGTATACTTGTATGAACACGTAAGAACTTAGATGAACTGAGATGAGCGTAGATGAACATCAGCTCTTGGGCTCTAGGATAGGGGTTTGATTTGAGCATGTCGTTTAGTTTCACTTTCCTTTTGTTTGTAGATGTCAGACACCGAATCAGACTATAGTCGTAGCCCAAGAGCTTTTGATGGAGAAACAGCCTCGGAGGGAAGCACTGGAGGTGTCTCCCAGCTTCTTCTTCAATGTTTTCTTGATGATCTTGTTGATGGCTTCAACCTGTCCAAACCGTGAGCAGTCGAATTGCTTGCCGTTGTGTCAGAGATGCAAAGAAAATGCTGATGTTGAACCAGGAGCAGAGATGCCGAAACAGTGAGCAGTCGAATTGCTTGCCGTTGTCCGTCATGATGGCATTTGGTAGGCCGAATCGGCATAGGATGTTTTTCCATACAAAGTGTTTGATCTTAGCTGCTGTTGTTGTTGTGAGGGATTTGGCCTCAGTCCACTTGGTAAAGTAATCGACGACTACGATGAGGTCAAGTCCCCATTGGGCGAATGGCCACGGGCTAGTCATCGGACTGAGTGGTTCGACAGGGGCCTTCAGTACAGATTTCGAAACGTTAGCACGAATCGCACCTTTGCACAATCTTGGTGGCGTCAGCGTGGAGAGTTGGCCAATAATAGCCTTGCCGAACGGCCTTGAAGGCCAAGGATTGGGATCCCGAGTGGTCACTGCACGTGCCTTCGTGTATCTCACGCAAGATATAGTCTCCTTGTTATGGTGCAACACATCTCAGCAACGGCAGGGAGTAGCTGCGCCAATAGAGGATGCCTTGCAACAGAAGGTAGCAAGCCGATCGTCATCGTACTGCCTTTGCTTCGGCCTTGTCAGTTGGTAGGGTGCCGTCGGTGAGGTGAGTGCGGATCGGGTCCATCCAACTAGGGTCTTGATGGACGGTGTTGACATCGACTTCGGTCGTGCTCCGTTGAGCGAGAACCTCTATGGGGACGTGGCATCCGACACGGTCGTCGATTGCCGAAGCGAGCCGAGAGAGAGCATCGGCGTGGCTATTCTCAGATTTGGGGACCTGGTGAATGTAGTAGGTTTTGAACTGTTTGAGAAATCGACGGGTCTACGCGAGATAGGCAGCCATTGATTCGTCTTTTGCTGCGAATTCGGTGATTACCTGGTTGACGACGAGCTGGGAGTCGCTACATATCATCAGCCGTTCAGTACCTGAGCTTTGGGCAAGCCGAAGGCCTGCAAGGCGCGGCTCGTATTTGGCCTCGTTGTTGGAAGCACGAAACTGAAAGCGGATAGCATATTCGATTGTGGTGTCATTCGGAGTCTTGAGGACTATGCCTGTGCCGCTGCCCTGCCGATTGGATGAGCCGTCCACGTATAATGTCCAGTGAGGGTTGTTGTGATCGAATGTATTGTCGGTCGAAGGTGAATCTACAGATGCCAAAGGTGGTGTCGTGACAGGGTCGATTGGTTGACCGTTACTGGTTGGAAGTGTGAGTTCTGAGATGAAATCGGTCACGGCCTGTCCTTTTTAGGAAGGCCGAGGGTGATACCTGATGTCGAATTCACCAAGCTCGATGGCCCATTTGATTAGTCGTCCTGATGTCTCTGGCTTCTAGAAGACCTGCCGTAGGGGTTGATTGGTCAATACGTCGATGTTGTGAGCCTGGAAGTAGGGCCTAAGCCTGCGTGCCGAGAGGACGAGGGCATAGGCCAGCTGTTCAAGTTGGGGGTACCGTTGCTCGGCGTCTTGCAATGCATGGCTCATATAAAAGATGGGGAGTTCGATGTCGTTCGGTCTACGGATGAGCACGGAACTCAGGGCCAATACCGAGATCGAGAGATAGATGACGATGTCTTCTCTGGGAAGAGGGGTGGACAGCAGAGGAGCTCTGCTCATGTAGACTTTCAGATCTTCGAACGCTCGATCGCATTCGGAAGTCCAATTGACCTGCCGTTTTCTTCCTTTGAGAGCTTTGAAAAAAAGGGTGCACCGATCGGTGGCTTTTGATATGAAACAGGACAAGGCGGCGACTCGGCCGGTGAGGCTCTGAACCTCTTTCTTTGTCCTCAGCACCTGCATATCGATGAGCGCTCAGATCTTCTCGGGGTTGGCTTCAATCCCCCTCTGGCTGATCATGAAGCCCAAGAATTTGCCGGAAGAAACGCCGAAGGCATATTTGCTCGGGTTCAGGCGCATGTTGTATTGTTTTAGCTTGCCGAACATGAGGGAGAGGTTCCGAAGATGATCGCTGGCGGTCCGATTTTTGACTAGCATATCGTCTACGTAGACCTCCATTGAAGTGCCAATGAGTTCGGCAAAGATTTTGTTGACCAGTCGCTAGTATGTAGCTCCAGCATTCTTCAGGCCGAATGGCATGACATTGTAGCAATAAAGCCCTCTGTCGGTAATGAATGTTGTATGCTCACGATCCGTATGATGCATGAAAATCTGGTTGTAGCCAGAGTAGGCGTCCATGAAGCTGAGGAGCTCATGGCCAACCGTGGCATCCACTAGTTGGTCAATTCTTGGTAGTGGAAAGCTATCCTTCGAACATGCTTTATTCAGATTGGTGTAATCCTGGCACATTTGCCAGGCACCGCCTGATTTCTTCACAAAGACTGAGTTGGCGAGCCAAATGGTAGGTGACTTTGCGGATGAAGCCGATCACCTGAAGCTTGTCCACTTCGGTCTTCATGGCCTCGTATCGTTCGGCGTCATAGGATCATCTCTTCTGTCAGACCGGCTTGAAAGAAGGGGAGATGCTGAGCTTGTGGCTGATGACGTCCAGGAAGATCCCAGGCATATTGTTGTGAGACCAGGCGAAAACTTATGAATTGGCCCTTAGAAAGGTAATGAAGTTGGTTCGGAGAGACGGACTGAGGGAAGTGCCGATTCAGATCTGCTGATCCTGCGTGTTGGAGATGGAGATCGTCTCGAGCTCTTTGGCAGGTTGAGCTTGCGGTGTGACGTTGTCGTCCCGGGGGTCATCGGGGAGTTCGGTCCCTCCTTTGCCGTTCGTCATACTTGGGCGGGTGATGGCCAGTGTTTCGAGCGGCCTTTGCCCTGACGCCCGGGTTGCTGATTCTGCCGTGGATGACATGTAGCATACCTGTGCACTCAATTGGTCCCCCCATACCTGACTAACTCCCGAGTGTGTTGGGAATTTAAGCAGTAGCATATGTGGTGACAAAATGGCTTTCATTCGGGTGAGGGCGGGCCCGCCGATAATGGCGTTGTATGCGGTCGGACAGTTGACTACCAGGAAGTGAGTGTAGATGAATGCCCTTCTGGAGCCGGAACCGATGGCAAGGGGAAGCTGGATGCTCTTGATAGGTTCTACCACATCGCCCGAGAAGCTTAGAAGGGGAGTGATGTCCTTGTTGAGGCTTTGATGGTCGATTCCGAGGCCGTTGAAAGCATCGGCAAAGCGTACGTTGACCGAGCTTCCAGTGTCGATGAGGATTTGGCCTACGTTGAAATCGGCAATGTCTGCTCGAATGATCATGGGATCGGAATGGGGGAAGATGATGCCCTTCTCTTCTTCTTCGGAAAAGGTGATGGGTTCCCATCCGAATCGCCAGATTTTGCTGTTGTGCTCCTCGGTGAGGCTGAGGACCTGAGGGTGCCGAACGGCACGTATGTAACTCTTGACGGACCCGATTGTGTTGATCTGCCGCGGATCATGTTGATCTGCCGATTGCCCTGATGCTCGGGACCCGATTGTGCACTTAGATACTAGTCTAGTTTACCCTCGCTGATCAGTTTTTCAACGATCCTTCGGAGGGCGATGCAGGACTCAGTATCGTGGCCGTTGTATTGGTGGTATCGGCAGAAAACTCCTGTATCCTTGTTGACTTGCCGAGGGAGCTTCCGGAGGCTTGGCTTTGGAATCATCTAATTTTCGGCCATGAGGACATGTTCGTAGGTTGAGTTAAGAATGGTGAAGACCTCCGGCAGTCGGTCACTTTTGGTACTTCAGAAGTCTCGGCCACCTGACCCTTTATTACGTTTGCCTCCATCCTGCCGACCCTGGAACAAATCCCTTCGCCTATCTCCTGTTGTGCAAGGTGCGGGCACAGCGGGTGCCGTTCGGTAAGGAGCTTGATTAGTGTTCTGGTGTGGCGAGAAACAGTCATAGGTGGATGCCAAAGGATGACTTGCGCTTGCCGTCTGGCCAGAAGATGCCGAAGGCATTCCTTTAGAGTTGAAGTATTCGGCCTTGGCGTGAATGGCTGCCTGCTTCATGAGTTCGCCATAGGTGGTCCAATTGCTGCTGTGTACTAGGTAGCGAAATTGGGAGGCTCAGAGACCACTATTGAAGGCGCCGAAGGCTGCTCGGTCGTCGGTTTCCAGGCACCGAGAGTACTCGTGGCTGAATCTAGCCACGTACTCCCGAAGGGGCTCACTGCCTCCTTGCCGAATGGTGTACAGGTCGTCGGCAGAGTATAGACGATCGGTCTGTATCATAAAATGATTGAGAAAATTTTGTTTTAACTGGTCGAAAGAGTCTACTGTACCTGGTTCCAGCCGATAAAACCAATTCAGAGCTGCCCCGGCCAAGGTAGATGGGAACAACAGGCATTGGCCTTCATTGGTGAGCCCCTTGCAGCCCAAGGCCGATTGAAATGTATGGATGTGGGTGACGAGGTCTTCCACTCCCGAGTAGAATGAGATTCGGAGGGCCTGTACCTCTTTTTCAGGTCGGTAGGATCGGATTCGACTAGTGAATGGTCCCGATTGTACCTTTCCCCAGGTTGGTGTCCGAATCTAATTCTACTCTTCCTCGATTCGATTGACTTTTTGAAGGAGGAGGAGGATTGTAGGGTCGGTAGAAGGGAGGTCAGTCCCGAAGGGTTCTGCCGTTTGGGGGCCAGTTGGGAGGCGACCCGCGTGTCCTTGTGCCTCGTGCCCCGACCCAGGACTTCTTGCCACCGATCGTTCCTTCTGGCCGATCCGGATGTCGTCGACTGGAGTGGGAGTGTCGTGCCAAAAGAGGTTGGAATGTAGTCGGATTCGTCTGTTTCCTCTAGGCCGATCACATCGTACCTCCGTCGATGGGGAGATTTTGGTCCCAGTACGTCCAGATGCCGATCGTTAAGCTTCGCTTGGACGGGAATCGGTGATGCCTGCCGTTCCCGTCGTCGGTCGTTGATTCTATCGCGGCAATCGGAGTAGACTTGGTATTCCCGATGGTGTTATGCCGAAGTTGGCATGAACAGTCTTTGGGAGGCGGACGGTTCGCCTCGAGCTAGCTGCTTTCTAGCCTGTCGATTGTTAGGCCTTGGTACGCTCTTCAGTGATCGTTCCAGCCGAAGCTGCGTGGTTTGTTCCAGACCGTCCTGCGGTTGGGCTGAATGTGATTGATGCTCGTGAAGCTGTTTCTGGGTGTCGTCCAGTTTAGAGGAGAGGTTATTGTTGTGCTCCTGCATCCTGATCATTTCCCGCTGTAGGGCTTCCATCCTGTCTTCCAGGGTGTTTTGCCGACCAGGCGTTTCCACTCGGGGTGTGCCGGGTAGCACAGCAGGGTTCTCTCGGTCGGCGAGGCCGAGGATGGGACCGTCGGCCGCGAGGGGCGAAGGCGGGTTCATAGTTTAAGGAGTAAAAAAGGAGATATGGGCTGATTGTCAATCGGCTTCCCACAGACGGCGCCAATCTGTTCGCGCTAAATTAGAACATATAAGAGTTTAGGCTAACTTACAAGTGTGCTGATGGTTGAGGATTGGATTGACCTTCTTCCGTGATGTCCGAAGCTTCAAGCGGGGGTCGGATCTGAGTTGAGGAGGGGATACCGGTGTGGTACCTGCCAAAGGCACTCCGATGCCAAAGTTAATAACTAAGAGCAATTCTATTGATAGTGGAAGCACTAGTCAAGTCAGAAAGTCTTACCACTTGGCTGCGCCAAGGGACTTTATTTATAGAGAGCATTTGTGATGCTCTTAGCACTTAGTTTCGATGTGGGACTCGTGGGAGTGTCTTCGGAGGTCGACACGTGATTCTGACAGGCTCTGGCAGGAATTCTAAGGTAACCTGTCAGAATCGGATTGATGTGATGGTTGGTCGCTCGGTAGACAATACCGAAGGTTGGCAGAGGTAGTGATACTACGTTATCAACCCCCTGAATCGGTACTGAGTGCCGAGAGAACATTTGGTGTGGCCCAGTTGAGCTGGTCTCTGGCTTGAGGGCGTTCTACGTGTCACGACGTGAGTGGGTGATCAGATATGGTACAAATAGCTCCAATTGAAAAAGCGCTTTGAGTTGAAGACGCCAAAACTAAAGAGAAGTCAAAACAAGGTTAGTCTTTTCCTTTGCTCCTTTCTGTCAGAGTTAGACTATGTGGCCCATTAAACTATTAATTGAGAGTATGGGAACTTAAAGAGGCAGCGTCTGTTTGTCAAAGTATAGAGCTACTTCTTCTCTGTTTTTTGTGGCTTTTCTTCCTTTCTTTTGTTGGTTTCTTCCTGTTCTTCCAAAACCCCCTTTTTTTTTTCTTGCTCTCTTCTTCCATCTTGGGCATGGCAAGAGGTTGAGGCTTCTTGGCTTGAAATTGATGAGCCATCTTTCCCTTTTTGCTTTTGGACTGAACCATTAATTTGCAGCCCTGTATACGATATTGGCTGTTTGTCGTGCACTTTGTTTTTGGTGTCGAGAGAAAAGGAAAATAAACTCTCTTCTCTTTTGGGATCTTTGTGATTTTATTTTCATCATTTCCTGGAAGTCTTGACTATGTTTTTGTTGGGTCCAAAGACAATTTGGAATTCTCTGCTCCCTTCCAATGTCTTGGTGATTTTCCTTTTCTTATTTGAACTTTGTAACAACGATATGATGCTTCGGTGCAATTTTTCTTTTTCATTTGATTGCATGTTTCCATTTGTAGTCTGAGATCTATTGGGATTATCATACCGCCAATTGAGATAATGACTTTGTTTTGTCTCATTTGCCTCACGTCTTACCAGTAACATAGTGAGAACATTTTATGATATTTGCAAATTGCTATATAGGAGTGTTGACAAGTTCCGACCCAAATTCCACTTTGGAATCTGAGCCAAACCCTGTGCGTGTCTGACACCTGGCAGGAGCCAAGCATGCTTGACCAAATTGCCTTCCTAACTAAAATTCAAAAATTTCTTTAGGGTTTGACTTCTGGCAAAAATTCGGCTGAGTCTCCTCTGTAAATTGCTCGTTCCCAAACTTTTTCACATGTACAACAGGAATTCAAATATCCACAACTGTTCAACATGAACAAAGTTAGAATTCATGTAACTCAACAACAACTCTTTATGGCCTAAGGCCTTACAGAAATCCTAGGGTAATTTCAGAGCAATCTAATTCAATAATTTACAAAAAAAAGAATAGTTACAAGAGAACATCCTACATAGAGGAAAAGGAGGAGTGATGAGTGATGACCGCCCTGTGGTGGTGCTCTGGTACACTACTACTGACTCGGGGCGCAAAACATTTAAAAGTGTGAGCGGACAAAAGAAAGTTTTGGAAAAAATAGAATATCAACATACTAACCCCACTGTTAAAAAATTTTAAAATTCATTTATATCCATATTCTATATTCGTACAAAAATCAAGACTCAAGGGACACTTGGTCAACCTGAGCCACATCCTAAGACTCGTGGGGCAACTGTCAAATGCACGATAACTCAACCGAAGGCAATTAGGATGTCCGTGGACATCACTATAATGAAGGCAACAATTTATCCGAAGGCAACATTTTGGGTCATTATGGTGGTTTAAAAACCTTTCCTAAAAAATTATAATACTATTTCTCCTTAAATCCTTAAATCCTGTTATCATCTCCTTTTCTACCTTCCAAGCCATTCACATTTAAACATAAACATAATTTAATAAAAATATTTGAATTCAAACTAATTGCTTGGAAAGCAAAACCATAAATAATTCATTCAAGCGAAATAGTAAAACTTTTATTTCATAAAATTCATTTACAAAACAAAAGTCAACTCACTGAGCATCCGAGCTAGCCTGACCCTTCGAGGGTCCTTCCTGTGGGTTCAATAAAGCCCGAGTACCTTTTTAAGCAATTAAAACATTTAATTAATAAAATAGTTCAACCATAAATATTCAATCAAAACCCTGACCCCCCGCCTCAAAAGTGCGTGTACATAACTTACGAAGGTTCCAAGGCCCATTATCAACATTTTAGACAAGTGGAATGGTCTAAAAATACTCGAGATTGAATAAGCGATTAAATTTCCATATTGGTCATTTAGGTCCTCGTGGGGTCCATGACCTACGATTTATCAATCCGAGAGTTCCAATAGGTTCAACACAATTTACTAAACATGCCCTGCAGGTTTGGTCCGAACTAAACAGTCGGATCGCTCGCGATCGCAAGATCAGACAGTTACTGTTTACCTAAACTTTGTATTATTGAATCAAAGTATCCAGGATTCCGATTCTCGATCGGCGAATTTCTACACCATCCAAGAGCTGCCTAGATCAACATATTTGAAAATAATGTCGATCCAAAGGTCCGA